TTCACTGATGTGCGCTGATGGGGCTGAACCAATATGCGGCACTGATAAGCAACACTGCTGGGCACTGATAGGCTGCCCTGATGGGCACTAATAGCCAGTACTGATGGGCACTGTAAGCCAGCACTGATGGGTACTGATAGCCAGCACTGATGGGCACTGATAGCCAGCACTGATGGGCACTGATAGGCTGCCCTGATGGGCACTGATAGCTAGCACTGATACTAAGCACTGATGGGGTTACACTGATTATCGGAGCACTGATCAGTGTAAATGTCCCCCTGAGAAATGCCGCTGACTGGCTCTCCTCTCCTCCTGCGCTGTCAGCATATAACAATTACAATCTACACTGTGATTGGACACAGCTGATCACATGGTAAAAGGCTGTTCCGATTGGCCCTGTACCTGGAGATGTGATCAGCTGTGTCCGAAGGCGTGGTTCTGGGAGACGCCCTCCCAGAACTAGCTGACCGCCGTAGCTGTCTTTTGGCTATAGCATGGTTGGGAAATGGTTAAAATAATACACACCTCCTGCTCTATGTAATGGTTTTGCACAGAGCAGCCCCGATCCTCCTCGTCTTGGGACCCCGCCAGTGCTTCTGGCTCCTCCCCCTTACCCAGTGCCCCCCAATCCGAGTACGTCCTGAGCCGCCTCAGTATGTCACGTGACACACAGAGTGGGGCTCATGTCCTGTCCCCTGCTCCCTTCTCACTGGCTGTGATTGACTGCAGCAGGAGCCAATGCTGTGTCTCAGCCAATGAGGAGAGAGAGAGTCCTGGGAGAGCCGCTGCTCTCGTGCACAGCGCTGGATCGAGAGTGGGCTCTGGTAAGCATTGGGGGGGGGGGGGCTGCACACTGAGGATTTTTTTTCCATCAGGCAGAGAATACAGGAATACAGCTCTCTTAATGGGAGAGGAAGCGGAAGCACAATGAGTTGTCACTCGATTGTCCAGTACGGTGAGAGCTCGATGATAGGAGGGGCGGTGCTTGACCAATGCTGTAGTGTTTTATTTGCAATAGATAAAAATGAGGTCAGATCCTGGCGGGGCTGTCTGGATCAGAAAACTGGCTGAACAAAATGACCAAATTTTCACGTTTTGCATTTTGGCCAGAAATGTAGCTGTTGACCTTCATTTCCACCATCCATACATTGATGAAGGGGATCTCCGGAGAAGAATGGTCATTGGTCACTTGCCTCTGTACTGCGGCAGACCAGTCCACAATGTAAGTACCTGGTGACCTGCCATGCTGCACCTCTGGGAGTGCCATCGTTTGTCAGAATGCCAAGTCTTGTGTCTGTCCCTCGGAATGTTTTTATTGTGGTATAACCAGTGTGTTGTCATACGATCACGACTGTTTCTGTACTGTTTCTGTCCAATAAAATCCATTTACTACAATCCTTCCCCCTTAAAGGGAATGTATACGAGTGTTGTGTCTCAGACATTTCAGGCTGTAAACCTCTGACATGAAATAGGAACAAAGCATATCCCTCTATAGTGTGGCCCTCAGTCCAGAGCACAAAATGTAATTTCTGTCTGCTGCCTTGTGCATCACTTCTGACAGCTTTTCCTGACACCAAGAGGAAAAAAAAGGTGATAGGGAAGGGAGCTCCAGCACACAGCCTGTGATTGACAGCCTCAGCTCTGGACAAGGGGGCACTCTTTACGTCTGGAAGAAAAGAAATTTAATCTCCAAACACGGAAAGGTTTCTTCACAGTGAGAGCTGTGAGAATGGAATAGACTCCCTCAAGAGTTGGTTGTGGCCAGCTCAGTGGATTGCTGTAGGAAAGTCCTGGATTCTTTCTTGGATACACAGAATATAACTGGATATAACATTTATAGGTGACGTTGATCCAGGGAATATCCGATCGCCTCTCGGGGGATCAGGAAGGAATTTTTTCCCTGCAGGAGCAAATTGGATCATGCTTTGCTGGGCATTGTGCCTTCCTCTGGATCAACTGTGGGTGTAGGATTATAACTTTATATTTTTTTTTTGAGAGACCAGATATAGTGAATGCGGGGTCCGGGGAGAGCGGATATAGTGAATGCGGGGTCCGGGGAGAGCGGATATAGTGAATGCGGGGTCCTGGGAGAGCGGATATAGTGAATGCAGGGTCCGGGGAGAGCGGATATAGTGAATGCAGGATCCAGGGAGAGCGGATATAGTGAATGCGGGGTCCGGGAGACCAGATATAGTGAATGCAGGATCCTTGGAGAGCGGATATAGTGAATGCAGGGCCTGGGAGACGGATATAGTAAATGCAGGATCCGGGGAGAGCGGATATAGTGAATGCAGGGCCTGAAGACACCAGATATAGTGAATGCGGGGTCCGGGGAGACCAGATATAGTGAATGCAGGGTTCGGGGAGAAGAGATAGTGAATGCAGGGTCCGGGGAGAGCGGATATAGTGAATGCAGGGCCTGGGGAGACCAGATATAGTGATTGCAGGGTCCGGGGAGACCGGATATAGTGAATGCAGGGCCTGGGAGACCAGATATAGTGAATACGGGGTCCGGGGAGAGCGGATATAGTGAATGCAGGGCCTGGGGGAGACAGATATAGTGAATGCAGGGTCCGGGGAGACCAGATATAGTGAATGCAGGATCCGGGGAGAGCGGATATAGTGAATGCAGGGTTCGGGGAGACCGGATATAGTGAATGCAGGGTCCGGGGAGACCAGATATAGTGAATGCAGGATCCGGGGAGAGCGGATATAGTGAATGCAGGGCCTGGGGAGACCGGATATAGTGAATGCAGGATCCGGGGAGAGCGTATATAGTGAATGCAGGGCCTGGGGAGACCAGATATAGTGAATGCGGGGTCCGGGGAGAGCGGATATAGTGAATGCAGGGCCTGGGGAGACCAGATATAGTGAATGCAGGGTCCGGGGAGACCAGATATAGTGAATGCAGGATCCGGGGAGAGCGGATATAGTGAATGCAGGGTCCGGGGAGAGCGGATATAGTGAATGCGGGGCCTGGGGAGACCAGATATAGTGAATGCGGGGTCCGGGGAGAGTGGATATAGTGAATGCAGGGCCTGGGGAGACCGGATATAGTGAATGCAGGGTCCGGGGAGACCAGATATAGTGAATGCAGGGTCCAGGGAGAGCGAGATATAGTGAATGCAGGGTCTGGGGACCGGATACAGATATACGGGGTGAATGCCGGATATAGGAATGCGGGGGGTAGAGCGGATATAGTGAATGCGGGGTCCGGGGAGAGCGGATATAGTGAATGCGGGGGGTCGGGGAGAGCGGATATAGTGAATGCGGGGTCCGGGGAGAGCGGATATAGTGAATGCGGGTCCGGGGAGAGCGGATATAGTGAATGCGGGGTCCGGGGAGAGCGGATATAGTGAATGCGGGGTCGGGGAGAGCGGATATAGGAATGCGGGGTCCGTGGAGAGCGGATACAGTGAATGCGGGGTCCTGGGAGAGACGGATATATAGTGAATGCGGGGTCCGGGGAGAGCGGATATAGTGAATGCGGGGTCCGGGAGAGCGAATATAGTGAATGCGGGGTCCTGGGAGACCGGATATAGTGAATGCGGGGTCCGGGGAGCGGATATAGTGAATGCGGGGTCCGGGGAGACCGGATATAGTGTGAATGCGGGGTCCGGGGAGAGCGGATATAGTGAATGCAGGGGTCCGGGGAGAGCGGATATAGTGAATGCGGGGTCCGGGGAGCGCGGATATAGTAAATGCGGGGTCCTGGGAGAGCAGATATAGTGAATGCAGGGTCCAGGGAGAGCGGATATAGTGAATGCGGGGTCCGGGGAGAGCGGATATAGTAAATGCAGGGTCCTGGGAGAGCAGATATAGTGAATGCAGGGTCCGGGGAGAGCGGATATAGTGAATGCGGGGTCCTGGGAGAGCGGATATAGTGAATGCGGGTCCTGGGGAGAGCAGATATAGTGAATGCAGGGTCCGGGAGAGCGAATATAGTGAATGCGGGGTCCGGGGAGACGGATATAGTGAATGCGGGGTCCGCGGGAGAGCGATATATAGTGAATGCGGGGTCCGGGAGACCGGATATAGTGAATGCGGGGTCCGGGGAGAGCGGATATAGTGAATGCGGGGTCCGGGGAGAGCGGATATAGTGAATGCAGGGTCTGGGGAGAGCAGATATAGTGAATGCGGGGTCCAGGGAGAGCGATATAGTGAATGCGGGGTCTGGGAGAGTGGATATAGTGAATGCGGGGTCTGGGGAGAGCGGATATAGTAAATGCAGGGTCCTGGGAGAGCAGATATAGTGAATGCAGGGTCCAGGGAGAGCGGATATAGTGAATGCGGGGTCCAGGAAGACTAGATATAGTGAATGCAGGGTTGGGCCTCATACAGCCAACCTGACAGCTCCCCCCCAAAAAATAAACACAGTATACTATGCTTCAGTTATAAACACAGTGAATGATCAGTATTGATCACTCATTGTGTTCATTCAGGAAAGGAAGGGGCTGGTAAATGTGACATATTTACTGGACCCTTCCCCCACTCTCCATCCTGAAGGATCCTATTGTGTGCTTACAGCTGCCAGAGGAAGGAAGCACTGCAGGGATGTGGGCACACAGGGTGGCCTGGGCAGCAGGGGGGAAATGTTTGGAGCACAGGAAGGGTGATGGGTGTGCGGTGGGGGGGAGGCAATTACTGGAACTGATCCCCTGTATGGCTCTCTCTGCAGTAGCTGAAAGCCAGCAGGAGGGAGAGAAGAAGCCGGCTTTCAGCTGCTGCAGAGAGAGCCATACAGGGGATCAGTTCCAGCAATTGCTCCCCCCCCCCCACTGTGCCAATCACCCTCCCTGCTCACATCTGATTCACCCCGTACAGGAGGGCTGGTGGTACCCCCTTATCCGCGTCCCTGGATGTGATCAGCATAGAGGTAAGTAAGGACCAGGGGCGGACTGACCATTCGGGAACATGAGCACTGCCCGAGGGCCCGGGTCAGTGGGGGCCCCATGAGATGCCCCTGGTACCTTTCATAGGCTTTTTGGGTGTGGTTTGAGTGTGGGCGAGGACACAGGGGCTCCATGATCCCCCCATTGCCCGGGGGCCCCATGAGTTGTCAGTCCGCCCCTGGTAAGGACTCCCCAGAGAAAAAAAAGCATTCACCACTTTCCGCGGGAGGTATACAGCCCCATGTAGACACATTTCTGTGCTTAGTGTCACCAGCGGGGCCCGGAAAGCTCCCGATGTATACTTGCAGCCAATCATAGCGGTCTCATGATCGGAATGCCCGCCTCCCGGCATTTAGAGGCTCTTATAGGGTCTGGAATAGTCGGTGGGAAAAGGTTAAAGCTGAAATTTCAATAAAAACAAAAAAAAACCCTCCATCACTTACCTGTAATGTGCCGTGTTGTGTAGGCGGCTGGATCCTGCAACAGTTCACGTCTTCAGACAGATCAGATGATCCGATAGAGACACGTCCTTTCTCTTCCTCCATACAGAAAGGTTCTTTCATTGATTACACCGCCTGTAACACGATCTGTGAATGGAGGAGACCATCCTGGACTGATCAGACTCTCCTCCATTCACAGATTGTGTTACAGGTGATGTAATCTATGAAGGAACTGTTCTCAGTGGAGGAGGAGGAAGGATGAAGGGCAGCTGCTGACCAATCAGATGCCGTCTAGCTCAAATTTTCATCGCTGCAAGGAGAGGAAAGATAAGGGGGGGGGGGGATTTCAAATCCTTGCCGCTCTCTCTCCTACCACTAAGGCCAGCCATACATGGGTCGATTTTCGAACTATTTTTTGTTAATAAATCGGACCTAAGAATGATCGTCCGATTTTCGCTCTGTTAGTGGGGCAATGGCACAGGTCGATTTCCGTGATTTCTCCCCTTTTCGATTATCGGAAATGCTGGAAAATTCGTGAAAAACAACCGATTTTTTAAATCATTGGTGGCACCATCGGATTACAGAACAAACAATGTTTTCGATTTTCGATCCATGTATGGTCTACTAACACTCAGCATGGGAATGGTGCAGGGGAGGTTTCCCGCACTGCTCCTGTGTGAACACAAAAGCAGTGGGGAAACCGCATGCGATTTAGATCAGAATCGCATACCTGTTCAATTTACATGCTATTCTTTGCCGTGCAATTTGCATCCATTAACTCAAATGGGGCAGCACAGTGGCTAAATGGTTAGCACTTCCACCTGGCAGTACTAGGGTCGTTGGTTTGAATCCCAACCACGGCACCACCTGCCTGGAGTTTGCATGCTCTCCCTGTGCCTGTGTGGGTTTCCTCCTACACTCCAAAGACATAGGTAGGTTAATTGGCTCCTGTCTAAATTGTCCCTAGTCTGTGTATGTATGAATGTGAGTTAGGGACCTTAGATTGTACACCCCTTGAGGGTTAGGGACTGATGTGAATGTACAATATATATGTAAAGCGCTGCGTAATTTGATGGCGCTATATAAGTACCTGAAATAAATAATAAATTGCACCGCAAAGTATTGGTACTTGGTAATCGGTGACTACTTGACTCAAAGTACCAGCACTTGTACTGTACTCGCCGATAAAAAAACGGTATCAGTGCATCCCTAATTTTTTATATTTTGTATTGTCGCTAATCATTTTAATATGCATTACATAAACATTTTTTTGTGTTTTTTTTTTGTTGCTAATTATTGTAACATGTATTTTATTTTTTTGTTCAATACATTTTGAAAAGAGAGACAATAAATTGAAAGAATAATACCCAATAAACAAATACAGCTATTCACATCTCCAAAACAATATATATACATATATATATATATATATATATATATATATATTGTTCCTGGAGTTGTGAATCGCTGTATTTGTTTGTCATATACATATATTTATTAAGATTTACTGGACCATGTGTCATATATATATACATATATATATATGTTTTTTATATATATATATATATATATATGACACATGGTCCAGTAAATCTTAATAAAGAATCACAACAGAAAATACATGTGGATAATCAACACTTGGGAAGCTTCTGTTATTGGCCACATATTAAGTATTGCATACAAGATAACATATAAATGTAACAGGTATTTTTATACTCCTGTTTATTTTTTTATACTATTTTTTTTTTTCTATTCATACTAATCATTTTGACATTTAAAAATATGTAGTGTAGCACAATATACCGCATCAACATGAAATAAGAATAAAAGTCCCAATAAAGTCTCTCTATATATATATGTTTATAAACATTTTCCTTTACATTTTATTTATTTGTATAATTATTTTTAACAGTCTTATTTGTTTCAATATTTCATGATGTTTTTTTTTGCTGCAAATCATTTTAACGTGTATTTTACAAACATTTTCATTTATCCCTAATTTTTTTCTAATTACATTTATAGCTCAGCATTAATGTTTTTTTGCTAAATATATATATATATATATACAGTGGGGATCGAAAGTTTGGGCACCCCAGCTAAAAATTTGTATTATACTCATTTTTTTTTTTTACTATTTTTTTTTTCTATTCATACTAATCATTTTGACATATAAAAATATATGGTGTAGCACAATAATGAATGCCGCATCAACATGAAATAAAAATAAAAGTCCCAATAAAGTCTCTCTATATATATATGTTTATAAACATTTTCCGTTACGTTTTATTTATATGTATAATTATTTTTAGCAGTCTTATTTGTTTTGATATTTCATGATGTTTTTTTTCCTGCAAATCATTTTAATGTGTATTTTACAGACATTTTCATTTATCCCTAATTTTTTTCTAATTACATTTATAGCTTAGCATTCATTTTTTTTGCTAAATATATATATATATATATATATATATATATATATATATATATATATATATACATACATGTTTATAAGCATTTTCCTTTACATTTTATTTATTTGTATATTTACTTTTAGCAATCTTATTTGTTTTGATATTTCATGATTTTTTGTGCTGCACATCATTTTAATGTGTATTTTACAAATATTTTCATTTATCCCTTATTTTTTTCTAATTACATTTATAGCTTAGCATTAATCAACACTTGAGTAGTTCCTGTCATTTGCCAAATATTAGGTATTGCATACAAGATAACATATAAATGTAACAGGTATTTTATACTTATTTTAATTTTTTTATACTATTTTTTTTTCTATTCATACTAATCATTTTGACATAAAAATATATAGTGAAGCACAATAATTAATACCGCATCAACATGAAATAAAAGTCCCAATAAAGTCTCTCTCTATATATACATGTTTATAAACATTTTCCGTTACATTTTATTTATATGTATAATTATTTTTAGCAGTATTATTTGTTTTCATGATTTTTTTTGCTGCAAATCATTTTAACGTGTATTTTACAAACATTTTCATTTATCCCTAATTTTTTTTCTAATTACATTTATAGCTTAACATTAATGTTTTTTTGCTAAATATATATATATATATATATATATATATATACATACATTTTATAAACATTTTTCTTTACATTTTATTTATTTGTAGAATTATTTTTAGCAATCTTATTTGTTTTGATATTTCATGATTTTTTTTGCTGCAAATCATTTTAACGTGTATTTTACAAACATTTTCATTTATCCCTAATTTTTTTTAAATTACATTTATAGCCTAGCATTAATATTTTTTGCTACATATATATATATATATATATATATATATATATATATATATACACGTTTATAAACATTTTCCTTTACATTTTATTATTTGTACAATTATTTTTAGCAGTCATATTTGTTTTGATATGTCATGATTATTATTATATATATATTCTCTATATCATCAAGTGTTTACAGCACCAAGCTTCAATAGCTGCATCACTTGATCTATGCAGACGCACAGAGGATTCTGGGATTTGCAGTCTCATGGAAAGAGATTTACTACATCTCCTGAGTCTGAACTCCCAGAATCCTTTTCTCTGGGATGCTAGGCATGTGCAGTGTGACATAGCGGAGCTGCGTCTGCAGTCCTGAGCCCCCAGCCTGCGCCTGTGTGGGTGGTAGGCGACTGTCACAACGCTCTCTCCCTTTTCATGCAGGATGAGATGCAGAATACCATTGCTTAGCATGTCACTGAGCCCCAGCTGGAGCTCCCAGCCCTGCGGAGATCGGATGCTGAGCTTGCTGCTGGAAGCTCATTAATTACGGGTCGTGGATCGTCCATAGAATTCCAGCGCAGGTTCGCATTCTAATTTTCGGAATTGGTGTCATTGCTGCGAACGTTCTGCATCGAGGAGTCCTCTTTGCTCCAGGTGGTGTCATTCCTGTTACTGGATGTACGTTGGGTAAAAGGGATTAGGTGAGTGACAGTTACATGGTAGTGCGCTGTGGTTGGCTGTTTATTTGCCTTTTATAGGTTGTATTTATGACAACATTATGTTTTATGCTCCGCTGGCACCAAGATTGCTGGAGAAGAGTGCGAGAGCCCCGACACCTGATGTTATCATGAACCTACCAAGCCAAAGGCTTGATTTCCACTTATCCATTGCGGTAGGGCGCCGTACGGCATTTTTACTGCTCGCCGCTTTAGCGAATGCCTTTAAAATGACACCCCAGTGCTCCAGTGTAGTAGAGCCCAATGCAGCTGCTCTGCCATGCATTGTGCTGCACTACATTAAAACATGGTGTGGGTATGGTATTTTTTTTTCTCTGTTGCAATTGATTGGCGAGCCATACAAAATCAATGGGCTGCCTTCACATAACGCATGTTAATGCACAAAATCCCATGATGAGTACGGCAATGCAGCAGAAAAAGCTTTTCTAGCGTAGTACCAGGGGCGGGACTGACCATTAACGAGCACTCGGGCACTGCCCAAGGGCCCAGAGTCAGTAGGGGGCCCCATGAGATGCCCCTAGTATCTTTATGGGCTTTTTTGGGTGTGGTTTGAGTGTGGGCGAGAACACAGGGGCCCCATGATCCCCTATTGCCCGGGGACCCCATGAGATCTCAGTCCGCCCCTGCGTAGTACAGACCAAACTGATGCTTCAGCTGGTTGTGGTTGGTGGATCTGTTTTATCAGTGTCCAGTAGGGGTGCTCCACCATCATTTTTTTGCCTTGCTGTATAGTACCCCTGCTGGTATGATGAGGGCTCTGAAGGCTACTACGGACTGGGGGCCCGAGAGTAATTCCCCTGGAAAAAAAGGATGGCCCTAGTTCCTTCTGGTTTGAATGGGTCTACCTTGTCTGGTCATGGGCTGGTGTCTGTGCTGAGTGGTCACCCCAGGGGTGCTCTTAGTAACACTTGGGTGTGGGAGAATACAAGGGAAGGTATGGGCGCTAGTCAACTGATCCCAGGTGTCCAATGTTGAGGAATGGCCTCAAATGCCAATTGGCCGTGCTCACTGTGCATTTCACCCCATACAGAGGACCTCTGTGACCAAGCCCCAGTGGGCGGGATAAGACACATCAGAGGGCGTGGCCAGAACGGCAGCTGAGGCCATTTCTCAACATTGGACTCCTGGCGTCGGTTGAGCAGTGCCATCCCTTCACTTGTATTGGCTGACATTGGAATCCCTTGGACTAATGCTCCCCTCTTCTCACTTGTCGGTGGGGTGATCTTTTTCCTTCCATCCATAGCCTGGAGAGGCGCCATAAGGTATACTTTTCACTTCGGTGTGGGACCCCACAGTTGAACAGTGCACATGGTCACCGACTCCAAAACGTTTTCTGCACTGCAGCTTTTTAGGGCTAAGCCTTTTGGGGCAATTTTTGCTACCAGGCCCACGGGCGGCAAACTGGTGGCCCTCCAGATGTTGCAAAACTACAAGTCCCATGAGGCATTGCAAGATTGACAGTTACAAGCATGACTCCCAAAGGTATGATGGTACTTCTAGTTACGCAACAGCTGGAGGGCCACCAGTTTGACACCCCTGGCTAAGCCAGTGCACAATTTCCCAGGCCACATTTATTTAGTGTATTTATTTTTCCTTCATCCTTTTGTCACTTTCAATTTTGTGTGTGTTTTTTTTTTTTCACTGGATGGAATGAGTGGGTCCTCGGGCCTTCCCTGAAGTCTAGGGGGAAGATGTGTGTGCCATTAGGTTTCATCCTCCCCCCAAACCTGGAAGATCTTTCTTCGGGAGAGCCTCCCAACCTAGTATTTGGTGGTGGACTTCGGCTGGCCACGAGGAGAGGTATCTGCCAGGCCTTTTGGCTAGGCCAGGGGTCTGCAACCTTTAAGACATAAAGAGCCACTTGGACCCGTTTCCGAGAGGAAAAAAAGACTGGGAGCCGCAAAACCATTGCAACATTTAAAACAAATCCGACACTGATATATTGCAAAAAACGCTCTGGTCATGAAGGGGGGGTTTAAGGGCCCAGTAAGCAAAGGGTTAATCAGGCCACAGTGTATCGTCTAATCACAATCAAGGTACCTAGTACCTTAGGTCAAGTGGTGGGCAACCTTTTTTTTCGACTGAGCCAAATCTCGCCAAAACCACGATTGAAATTTATTTTGAGAGAAACATTTTTAAAACTGAAAATACATCCCCCATATAGTAATTCATCCCCCATATAGTAATTCATCCCCATAGTAATTCATCCCCCATATAGTAATTCATCCCTCATATAGTAAATCATGTAATTCATCCCCCCTATAGTAATTCATCCCCCATATAGTAATTCATCCCCCATAGTAATTCATTCCCCCTATAGTAATTCATCCCCCCTATAGTAATTTATCCCCCGTAGTAATTCATCCCCCATAGTAATTCATCCCCCCTATAGTAATTCATCCCCCCTATAGTAATTCATCCCCCATAGTAATTTCATTCCCCATATTGTGTGAATTCACTTACCTTTGCTCCGCGCGTTCCTCTCGCTGGGTTCCCGCGCCGTTCTGGTCTTCAGGGCGGACTGTGAGAGGAGAGGAGTTCCACGCTGCCCCGCCTACATCCTGACAGCCAATGTTTGCCAGCGGGCGCCCGGCACACAGAAGATCTGCATTAAAAGAGCCGCGGCTTGCCGACCCTATTGCCTGTCACCTGGTGGGCAGTGTGCTCCGGAGCCGCAGGAAAGGTGAAAAAGAGCCGCATGCGGCTCCGGAGCCGCGGGTTGCCGACACCCGGCTAGGCGGACCAAGTTCAAAGCCATGGCCCCGTCAAGAGCCTTCGCCCCGAGGGTTCAGGGTAGAGGTCCTACCCTTCGGGAGGGGGCCAAAGCACACCCCTAAATGCACTTTTTTGTGTGAGTTTGTATGTTTTTTGTTCACTTATCGGGTTTTAATTTTTGCGCATCTCCGCAGATTAAAAAACAAACAAACTGGGAACTCTAGTTATAAGATTTCTGCCCCCCCCCCGTACCCTCACATATTCCGCGGGTGCTAAAGGACTTATTTAATAAAGACAAAGAACAGAAGGGCGCAAATGCCTAGTACTTTATCTCAAGCACTTTATTAGAGGATAAAAGATCCAAAATATACTCACAGTCCAGAGGTCCAACCTCCAGTGGTGGAACCAGCTGACGCATTTCGGGGGACTGGCCCCCTTCCTCAGAGCAATGACCTCATTATTTACTAAAGAGTTCAGATTAGGTTTTTCACACAGAACACATGGACTATACAGTACCTCTGAAAATGGCAAGTGCTTTGTGCAAATGGCCTGCTGCTGTGCTCTGTTTTCTTTGCTTGGTCCCCTTTTGGCGTATTACGTAGTCTGACAGTTCCTGACCTCTCTCCAAAGTTGGCCATATATTATACAATCTGTTTGTACAATCTCATTTATATTTACCAAAACAACTTGAAGTCAAACCTTTACCACCTGTTCCACCGCTAGCCCTCCGCCCTGTAGTAGAAGGGCAGCTGGGCTGTGCAAAATCACATTTATATATATATACATGATTTGCACTTCCAGATAGGGGGTGCGAGAGCACTGTACTACCTGCGCCGCTATTGGCGGTTTGGGATGCCGGTGATTCCCAGCTGACACTTGGCAATCACTGTGGAAAGCTGACAGGGGACAACAACACAGATCTCTCTCCTGTAAGCATGGACATGCTGCTTTGTATCTCTCTGCACAGCATATCTCCCTAGTAAAATGCACACAGTTAACCCTTTGATCGCTCAAAAGTCAACCCCGGTGCCCAGTGTCATTAGTACAGTGTCAGTGCTTATTATTAGCACCGGTCACTGGGGATGTCAGTGGCAGTTAGTCTGTTCCCCCCCCAGTGTCAGAATGCCCACCGCAGTCCCGTTATAAGTCGCTGATCGCCACCATTACTGGTAAAAATAAAAAATTCCAGTGTATATATACCACCATTTGTAGGCGCTATAACGTTCACATAAACCAATTAATTTACATGTGGGGCTTAACCGCTTCCCGACCGCCCTATAGCAGAACTACTGTTACAGGGCGGCAGAGCTGCGCAAAATCATGTATATACAGTACCTACTGTGTGTAGTGGTTTTGCACAGAGTGGCCCGGATCCTCCTCTTCTTGGGTCCCCCACCAGCTCTCCTGGCCCCTCCTTTCAGTCGGGTGCCCCCATAGCAAGCAGCTTGCTATGGGGGCACCCGCTGTTCTGCGTGTCTATTTACACACGGAGCCGCGGCTTGCCCCCGCCCCCTCTCTCTCCTTGTTGGCTGACTGCCTGTGATGGAAAGCAGCGGGAGCCAATGGTTCCCACTTGCTGTCTCAGCCAATGAGGAGGCAGAGACCTGGAACAACCGTGGTCGTGGTGCAGATCGCTGGATCGCGATGAGGCTCAGGTATGTATGGAGGGGGCTGGGGATGCTGCACACAGGAGGTCTTACTTTCATGCACAGAATACATGCATAGAGCCTTTACAACTGCTTTAACCCCTTGATTACCCCTAGATGTTAACCCCTTCCCAGCCAGTGTCATTAGTACAGTGACTGTGTGTAGTATTATCACTGATTACTGTATTAGTGTCACTGGTGATGTCAGTCTCAGTTAGTCAGTTTCCCCCCCCCCTTCCCATCGTCAGATTGCCCGCCACACTATTCCAGTCCCACTATCAGTTGCTGATCACTACCATTACTAGTATAAATAAATAAATGAATAAATATTCCAGTATATATACCATAGCTTTTAGACGCTATAGCTTTCACACAAACCAAGGAAAGTGTTTGTAAAGGCTCAAGGTATTGTACCTTCATGCATTCTGTGCATGAAGGTAAAAAACCTTCTGTGTGCAGCATCCCCCCCCCAGCCCCCCCCTAATACTCACCTAAGCCCCTTCACAATCCAGCAATGTGCACTGGAGTCTCAGCTATCCCGGGACTCCTTCTCCTCATTAGTTGGACAATTACAGCCAGTGAGCCAATGAGAAGAGAGAGGGGGCAGGCGCAAGCCATGGATCCGTGTGTGAATGGACACAAGGAGCAGTGGCTGGGGAGTGCGCATGCTCGGGTGCTCCCATAGTAAGCTCCTTGCCGTGGGGGCACCCAACAGGAGGGAGAGTCCGGGAGCTCCAACGGGGGACCCAAGAAGAGGAGGATCTGGGCTGCTCTGTGCTCCATATCATTTGCAAATTGGATAAAACGTTTTTAGACACTAAAAATGTTTGTTCGGTGCTAACTCATGTCAGCACTATCCAACATTGAACAAAAAAAGTCTGTTCAATTTTTAAAGTGTTACTAAACCCACAACAGTAAAATCAGTCTGTATATGAAGTAAAGCAGGCTTGTTATACTCACTGTGGAGCCTAAGGGGTTAATTCTCTGCATTGTGTAAAAAGGCTGTTTGATCCTGTCTTTTCTGCCCCTCCTTTTGTTCAAATGTTCACATCTTATCGCCTGATAAGATGGATTGAACCGGTAGCCACATGCACATGCTCAGTTTAGTGTGTATTGCTAGATATATTTTTTTTTTTCTTGGGAGAGTTCATGTGATCAGCACAGGGCCAATCAGCACTGGTCAGACAGAGGTCAGGGGTTCTGCATTCTCCTAGAGCAGAATGAAAACTCCTCCTACAAGATTAACCAGTGCTCTGCAGGACACTGATAGAAGTCACAAGACTGCTATATACTGCTGATGATAAAAGGTATTTAGCAGTTTATAGGTACTAAAATAATTGTATTTCCATGTCCTGTGTACTGTGGGAGACCAGATATAGTGAATGCATGTCCGGGGAAGGATATAGTGAATGCAGGGTCCGGGAGAGTGTTATAGTGAATGCAGGGTCCTGGGAGAGCGGATATAGTGAATGCAGGGTCCGGGGAGACCAGATATAGTGAATGCAGGGTCCGGGAGTCCGGCAGGAGGGGAGAGCGGATATAGTGAATGCAGGGTCCGGGGAGAGCGGAGATATAGTGAATGCAGGGTCCGGGGAGAGCGGAGTGACTCCGGGGACGGATATAGTGAATGCGGGGTCCGAGGGATATAGACCGGGTCTGGGGAGAGCGGATATAGTGATATAGTGAATGCAGGGTCCGGGGAGACCGAATACAGATATAGTGAATGCAGGGTCCGGGGAGACCAGCGGATATAGTGAATGCAGGGTCCAGGGAGAACGGATATAGTGAATACGGGGGTCCGGGAGAGCAGATATAGTGAATGCAGGGTCCGGGTTTCTGAGCGGATATAGTGAATGCAGGGTCCGGGGAGAGGATACGGATATAGTGAATGCAGGGTCCGGAGCGGATATAGTGAATGCAGGGTCCGGAGAGAGCGGATATAATGCAGGGTGAATGCAGGGTCCGGGGAGAGCGGATATAGTGAACAGGGTCCGGGGAGACCGTATAGAATGCAGGGTCCGGGGAGAGCGGATAATAGTGAAGCGGATATAGTGAATGCAGGGGTCCGGGGAGAGCAGATATAGTGAATGCAGGGTCCGGGGAGAGCGGATATAGTGAATGCGGGACCGGGGAGACAGATATAGTGAATGTCTGGTATAGTGAATGCGGGGAGAGCGGAGATATATAGTGAATGCAGGGTCCGGGAGAGAGCGGATATAGTGAATGCAGGAGCCAGATATCCGGTTATAGTGAATGCAGACCGGGGAGAAGATATAGTGAATGCAGAGCGGATATAGTGAATGCGGGGTCCGGGGAGACCGGATATAGTGAATGCAGGGTCCAGGGGAGAGCGGATATAGTGAATGCGGGGTCCAGGGAGACCAGATATAGTGAATGCAGGGGTCCGAAGCGGATATAGTGAATGCGATATAGTGAATGCGGGGTCCAGGGAGAGCGGATATAGTGAATGCGGGGTCCGGGGAGAGCGGATATAGTGAATGCGGGGTCCGGGAGAGAGCGGATATAGTGAATGCAGGGTCCGGGGAGAGCGGATATAGTGAATGCAGGGTCCGGGAGAGCGGATATATAGTGAATGCAGGAGTCCGGGGAGAGACGGATATAGTGAATGCATGGGTCCGGGTATAGTGAATGCGGGGTCCGGGGAGACCAGATATAGTGAATAGTGGGTAGTGGGGAAACCAGAATATAGTGAATGCATGGTCCGGGGATATAGTGAATGAGGGTCCGGGGAGACCAGAATATAGTGAATGCAGGGTATGCAGGGACCGATAGGCCAGATATAGTGAATATAGCATGGGGTCCGGGGAGACCAGATATAGTGAATGCAGGGTCCGGGGAGAGCGGATAGTGAATGCAGGTCCGGGGAGAGCGGATATAGTGAATGCGGGGTCCTGGGAGACCAGATATACAGTGACCGGGGAGAGCGGATATAGTGAATGCAGGGTGCGGGGAGAGCGGATATAGTGAACGCAGGGGTCCGGGTGAGACCAGATATAGTGAATGCAGGGTGCGGGGAGAGCGGGTCCGGGGAGACGGATATCCGTGAATATAGTGAATGCAGGGTCCGGGGAGAGCGGATATAGTGAATGCAGGGTCCGGGGAGACCAGATATAGTGAATGCAGGGTATAGTGAATGCAGGGTCGGGAGAGGATATAGTGAATGCAGGGTCCGGGGAGAGAACGGATATAGTGAATGCAGGGTCCGGGGAGAGCGATATAGTGAATGCAGGGTCCGGGGAGACAGATATAGTGAATGCAGGGTCCCGGGGAGAGCGGATATAGTGAATGCAGGGTCCGGGGAGACCAGTGAATGCAGGGTCCTGGGAGACCAGATATAGTGAATGCAGGGTCCGGGGAGACCAGATATAGTGAATGCAGGGTCCGGGGAGACCAGATATAGTGAATGCAGGGTCCGGGGAGAGCGGATTTAGTGAATGCAGGGTCCGGGGAGACCGGTTTAGTGAATGCAGGGTCCTGGGAGGCCGATATAGTGAATGCAGGGTCCGGGGAGACCGGATATAGTGAATGCAGGGTCAGACCGAAAAGTGAATGCAGGGTCCGCGGAGAGCGGATTAGTGAATGCAGGGTCCGGGTAGAGCGGATACAGTGAATGAAGGGTCAGGGGAGAATATTTTGAATGCAGGCTCCGGGGAGAGCGGATACAGTGAAAAAGGGTCCGGGGAGAGCGGATATAGTGAATGCAGGGTCCTGGGAGACCAGATATAGTGAATGCAGCAGGTCGGGGGAGACCAGATATAGTGAATGCAGGGTCCGGGGTTGAGGAACATTTTAACATGACTCTTAGGCTCCATGCACACTGGGGGTCATTATAATAACATTGGTAATGTTTGCTGTGTAAAGTCACATTAAAAACATGAGTTTTTCAGCGTTTCTGCATTAGCGTTTAGCCGCGTTTGTGTTTTTTTCAGCAAAATTTTTTTTGTGCTAAAATAAAACCAAAAACGCTGGTTTGCTGTGGTTTACTGCGTTTTACAGCATTAGAGCGTTTTTACAGCTAAAAAAAACTCCTCTAGCAACCCACTAGTCTGGGTTATTTTTTCAGCCAATAAACTCTGATTCCAGTCTGTGTGTGTATGGACACATAGGATAACACGCCGGGGATGGACACATAGGATAACACGCCGGGGATGGACACATAGGATAACACATAGGCCGGGGATGGACACATAGGATAACACGCCGGGGATGGACACATAGGATAACACGCCGGGGATGGACACATAGGATAACATGCCGATGGACACATAGGATGGACACATAGGATAACACGCCGGGGATGGACACATAGGATAACATGCCGGGGACATGCCGGGGAAGGACACATGGATGACATGCCGGGGATGGACACATAGGATAACACGCCGGGGATGGACACATAGGATAACATGCCGGGGACGGACACATAGGATAACATGCTGGGGGTTTAATGGCTGTAGAAAAAAACGCCAAAAGCCAAAAACATCCGCTGTAAAAACGTCCCGTGTGCATGAGGACTAATAGTGATGACAAACGACGTTAATTATGAATTGTTTAGAATTTTTCTTTTCTTTTTTTTTCAGTAATTCCCGAAGGTTCTAATGGGCTGCCAGGAGGTGCATGCTGTGACCCTGTTTGCGTTCGTCTGCGGTACGGCCTCCGTCTCGGGACTGTTTGCTGCCACTCTGCTTCCCCAATGGAGACAGATGAAGCTGTACACCTTCAACAGGAACGAGAAGAACCTGACAGTGAGCATGGGATTATGGGTCAAGTGCACCCGCTTGGAGTGGAGCCGGGAGTGCATGATCTACGACCGGGACTGGTACGCCAGCGTGGACCAGCTTGACATCCGCATCCTGCAGTTCGCTCTTCCTTTCAGCATTTTGACTGCTGCCTCAGGCCTCATCCTGTGCCTGATCGGGATCTGTAACACTACCTTCACCACCAACATGCCGAGTCTCAAGCTGGCCAAGTGCCTGGTCAACAGCGCCGGGTGCCACCTCGTGGCGGGCATGTTGTTCTGCTTGGCGGGAGTGATGAGTGTGACGCCATCTGCCTGGGTGATACTCTATAACAGCATTCTGAACAGCAAGTATGGACCGTATTTCACCTTCGATATCGCCGTCTTCGTGGCTATCGGGAGCTCCGGCGGGATGTTCTTCACGGCTGCGCTCCTCTTCGCGTGGTACTGTAACTGCAAATCTCTGACGTCATCGTATTGGCAGCCATTGTATTCCCATATCCCCAATATGCCGAATTATATCCCCCCATCCTACTCCTCCCAGGCCCACATGTCACCCATTGAAATAGATTTTCCCGTCACGTACACCGTCTAGTGAACACATCTATTCAGATTTTCAGATAGCAAAAAGGATAATTCATTGTCAGATGTCTCGATGATGCTGGACATGCATTGCCCTAGGATCAGGGGTGGGAAACCTGCGGCTCTCCAGCTGTTGCAGGACTACAAGTTCCATCATGCCTCTGCAAGTCATAGCTGTAACTGTCAATTTTGCAATGTCACATGGGACCTGTAGAGTCATGCTTGTAACTTCCAGTCTTTGCAATGCCTCATGGGAAATGTAATTCCACAACAGCTGGAGAGCAGCAGGTTGCCCACCCCTGCGGCCTAGGTTCAGGCTAGAGGGCTGCTGGTTGGTCAGCACTGCTGTCAAATGGACAGTGCTGACCAAATCAGATGCTGTCTAGCCTGAACTGTCATTGCTGCAAGGAGAGAAAGCCTTTTCACAGGTCTGGGCATTCGAAATTTCCGCAACTTTCTCTCTTCTCCTTGCAGGGATGACAGTTTGGGCTAGACGGCATCTGATTGGTCAGCACCGTCCAAGTGACAGTGCATTACAGCACCAAACATAGTGCTGGTACTGGGCATGCCTGGCAGAATTAGGTGTGTAATTATTATGTAAATGTGAAATGTTCCAACATAAACTAGACCTGTAACCAGGGGCGGACTGACAACTCATGGGGCCCCCGGGCAATAGGGGATCATGGGGCTCCTGTGTCCTTGCCCAAACTCAAAAAAGCCTATGAAAAAGGTACCAGGGGCATCTCATGGGCCCCCTACTGACCCCGGGCCCTCAGGCAGTCCCGAGTTTCCAAATGGTCAGTCCACCCCTGCCTGCAACACTAAAAGTGAAGCTTTTGGCAAAAGTCAGTACCATTTTACATGCTGCCTGATCCACTGATTTCGACTCAATATAGTTTTGTGTGTAGGTGTTCTTTAATATGGAACTCCAGCCAAAAATGTTATTCCTTAGATTTGGGTGGAGTGAAGAAGGGTTGCTAGCTACATTGGGTTTTATTGCTGTCCAAGGCCCCTGTTGGGAAGATTTGCCATCTCTTTCACTTTGTCACCAGGACAGAAATTGAGGGGAGACCTCCATAACAGACACAGAGAAAAACTTGGCAAAGGCTATTCCACCCCCCCCCCCCCCACCTCCTAAATGTATCCAATTTATAAATTACTTTTATTCATGCCTGAGTCCCCATTATCCCATCATGCCTCTACCTTTGGGAGTCATGCTTGTAACTGTCAGTCTTGCAATGCCTCATGGGACTTGTAGTTTGGCAACAGCTGGAGGACCGCCAGTTTGACACCTGTGCGATGGTGAACACCTATATGAGCTTGCAGGACATCCCATTCCTAAACCATCAGTAACTTTATGGAGTTGCCTCCCCCTTCACCCTTTGTGCTTATGACAGTCTCCACTCTCCTGGAAGGGCTTTCCACAGGATTTTGGAGTGTGGCTGGGGGAACTTGTGTGCCTCCATCTAAAGGAGAATTTTTGAGGTCAGGTACTGATGTTGGACAAGGAAACCTGGCTTACAGTCATTGTTGCGATTCTTCCTAAAAGGGTTAAATAGGGTTGAGGTCAGGGCTTTGGGCAAGACACTCGAGTTCCTCAACATCATGTCTTTATGGAGTTGCCTCCCCCTTCCCCCTTTGTGTCTATGACAGTCTCCACTCTCCTGGGAAGGCCTTCCACAAGAATTTGGGGTGTATCTGGGGAAACTTGTGTGCCTCCATCTAAAGGAGAATTTTTGAGGTCCGGTACTAATGTTGGACAAGGAAACCTGGCTTACAGTCATTGTTGAGATTCATCCTAAAAGGGTTAAATAGGGTTGAGGTCAGGGCTTTGGGCAAGACACTCGAGTTCCTCAACATCATGTCTTTATGGAGTTGCCTCCCCCTTCCCCCTTTGTGACTATAACAGCCTCCACTCTCCTGGAAGGGCTTTCCACAAGATTTTGGAGTGTATCTGGGGGAACTTGTGTGCCTCCATCTAAAGGAGAATTTTTGAGGTCCGGTACTAATGTTGGACAAGGAAACCTGGCTTACAGTCATTGTTACGATTCATCCTAAAAGGGTTGTATAGAGTTGAGGTCAGGGCTTTGGGCAAGCCACTCAAGTTTCTCAACATCATGTCTTTATGGAGTTGCCTCCCCCTTCCCCTTTTGTGCCTATAACAGTCTCCACTCTCCTGGAAGGGCTTTACACAAGATTTTGGAGTGTGTCTAGGGGAACTTGTGCGCCTCCATCTAAAGGAGACATCCCATTCCTAAACCATCAGTAACTTTATGGAGTTGCCTCCCCCTTCCCCCTTTGTGCCTATAACAGTCTCCACTCTCCTTTGGAGTGTGTCTGGGGAAACTTGTGTGCCTCCATCTAAAGGAGAATTGTTGAGGTCATGATGTTGGACAAGGAAACCTGGCTTACAGTCATTGTTGCAATTCATCCTAAAAGGGTTGTATAGAGTTGAGGTCAGGGCTTTGGGCAAGCCACTCGAGTTCCTCAACATCATGTCTTTATGGAGTTGACAGGGGCACAGTCATGCTGGAACATAAAAGGGCCTTCCAAAAACTCATGTCACAAGGTAGGTAGCACAAAGTTGCCAATGCTGGATACTGCTTTATAATAAAGACATAGCACAGCACAGTGGCTAAATGGTTAGCACTTCCGCCTGGCGGTACTAGGGTCGTTGGTTTGAATCCCAACCACGGCACCACCTCCCTGGAGTTTGCATGTTCTCCCTGTGCCTGTGTGGGGGTTCTCCGGTTTCCTCCTACACTCCAAAGACATGCTGGTAGGTGATTTGGCTCCTCTCTAAATTGGCCCTAGTATGTGAGTTAGAGACCTTAGATTGTACGCCCCTTGAGGGTTAGGGACTGATGTGAATGTACAGTATATATGTAAATTGCCAGTGCTATATAAGTCTATATAAAGTATATAAGAAATAAATAAAATACTTTATAAAGCACAGCAGTGTGTTTAGAGTAAAAACAACAAAGGCTAAGATTTGTAGCCGATTGTCCTACTGACACAGCACACTGCAAAAATCAGTGAAAGTATGCTGTCATTATCCTCCATCCAGAGAACCAATCATTCTTGAGGTCATGTGAGAATCTGAACGCTTACGGCCCAATTCATAATGGAGAGCGAATATCAGTATTTACTAGAAATCCACTGCTAGGTTACACCACACTGTGCCTGTACTTTGCAGCCCATTCATAAAATGCAGGCAGTGATGGGGAGTCTTCGTTATGTCAATGAGTTATTCCTGCTTAGTGCAGCAAAGGAAACTCCCTGATTGGAGGAGAGCCTGTTCACTTGACAGGTCACATGATCGGGCTCTCCTCCCAGCTTTTATATTTTTATCTACTCGCAGTGCAGTGCTTTATAAATGTAACAGGTTTTTTTTTTCTTTTAAAGCAGTGGTAAGGCCATGTCGCTGCTTTGTAAATGGACCCTTTAGGCTCCTTTGACACGGGCAGTCTGATCGTTTTGATCGGACCTTCTATTCTGGAGCAATTAACTCAAATCCCATTGGTTCACCAAAAAAAGAAACTGAAGGGAATCTGTTCCCTCTGTCTGGGCGGATTGAAGGGCAGTTGGTATAAACGGACAACCAGTTTGTTTAGATGTGACAGCTCAGGCTGTGTCTCTAAGCGGAGCGGACACGGACCTGTCATCCCCCTGATCAGCAAGGGGTCAATGGACAGACCGTCGCTGAGTCTGCTCCGTATATCCCCAGGTTCACACCTACGCCTTTTCTGCGTTTTGCAGAAACGCAGTACAGTCCATTTAACATGATTTCCTATGAGACATGTTCACACCTGTGCGTTTTCACCCGGGGCGGTCTTTGAAAAGGGTCAGGGACTTTTTGAACGCAAAACGTTGCATTTTTGGTTCTATAAACTTCAAAGGGAACACTGCAGAAAAGCATGTTTTGCATTTAAAATCTGCCTAGCAACAAGAAAAAAAAAACTCAAAACACATCAAAAATGTGGCAAAAATGCAAGTGCAAAAAGCGCAAAACGCAATGCAGAAATGCATCAAACGTAGCCTGCATAGATGTGAACCTGCCTAGCAACAAGAAAAAAAAAACGCAAAACACATCAAAAGCAGGAGAAACGCAAGTGCAAAAAACACAAAACGCAATGCAGAAATGCATCAAACGTAACCTGCATAGGTGTGAACCTGCCTAGCAACAAGAAAAAAAAAAATGCAAAACATCAAAAGCAGGAAAAATGCAAGTGAAAAAAACACAAAACATGATGCAGAAATGCATCAAACGCAACCTGCATAGGTGTGAACCTGCCTAGCAACAAGAAAAAAAAATGCAAAAACATAAAAAACGCAGCAAAAACGCAAGTGCAAAAAACACAAAGCGCAATGCAGAAATGCATCAAACGCAACCTGCATAGGTGTGAACCTGCCTAGCAACAAGAAAAAAAAAAAAAAAAAACATAAAAAACGCAGCAAAAAAAACGCAAGTGCAAAAAACACAAAGCGCAATGCAGAAATGCATCAAACGCAACCTGCATAGGTGTGAGCATAGGCTTAGGCTCTGTTCACACGCAGGTTACTTTTTGTCCGTTTTGCAACGCTTCTCGCAGTTCATTTTGCAATTTTTCTACATACGGTTTTTACCGCGTTTTGGCCAGATTTTTTTCTTTTGTTAAAGTGTCATTTTTTTGGTTTCTGGGCAGAATAAAAATACAAAACACGGCAAAAACGCACTACCATGCATTTCAGTAGCTTCTCCATTGCACTGTATTGTAGCAAAAACGCAAAGTGATTCAAAAACGCGTCAAAAAAACACTACATGCGTTTTCTGCAGTGTCTCCATCTATTGGACCAAAAATGCAACATTTTGCTTTTGAAAAAGTCCCTGACCCTTTCCAAAAATGCAGCGGCTCAAAAACGCATAGATGTGAACGTGTTCCATAGGAAACCATGTTAAATGGACTGTAGTGCGTTTCTGCAAAAAGCACTAAAAAAGCCTTGGTGTGAACGGAGCCTAAAGGGGCTTTAAGC